AATGGTGGTCATAGCCGGGAAATTTATCATACAAAGAGAATGCAAAGGTTTGGTCTTCATGTATTCCCTTATTTGGGTTCTTGGATTTGTTGAACATATGTAATTAGCTTTTATATGCCAATCACTTCGTGCTCCATTTCTTGAACTATGCAGCCATTGGATTCCAGAGGGTATTGTTTCACATAACAAAATGGAAACTTTAGCTTTATGTTGACTAATTTCATTATTCTGACTCTTTTGTTTCCCTCTTCCTGCTTTTTATGTAGGGTGTTTTGTGTCAAGTTCAGCTGTGATGCTAGTTATGTTATTTCTGGGAGTGATGACACTAATCTCAGGCTTTGGAAGGCTAAAGCATCAGAACAATTGGGAGTTGTAAGATATCTCTTCCTTTCCTCGTGTTTCTGTTGTTGACCTTGGGTTGCAATATGGCTTTCTTCTGCTTCCTTTAACTATGTGGAATTCACTCATTTACTTTTTGTATATTACATTTCAAATGTTGAACTGCTTCTTTGTGCGTAGCATTTTTGAAGGGTTTTTATTTTTGGATGGATGAAATAAATACATAAATGGTTTGACCATAGAATTTTATTGGTACCATGCACACTATAACCGATGTAGGCTTGAAACACACAGACTAGTAACTGCGAGTTGAATGGTTTCTATTAACTTCTTCGACATCCCTTCTTTTAGACATCCTATTATAAACTTTTAACTACTTGTTACCTGCAGCTTCTTCCAAGGGAACAGAAAAAGCATGAGTATAATGAGGCTGTCAAGAATCGCTACAAGCACCTTCCCGAAGTCAAGCGTATTGTGAGGTATGATAAAAGGATGCCAGCAATTAGCCTTTTAAATTTGCTCTTTTGTTTTAGAAAAAAGAAAGTAATTATTGTCAATATATTTCCTATGAGATATTACAAGATCCATCATCTTTGAATGTTTCCTAAGAAAGATTGCTGGAGTATTTGATGATTTTGTGGGCAGATGTAATAAGCATAGAAAGATGCCCTTTTGATAAACTTCCATGTATAAAACCACCATTGCCCTTTTTTTTTTTTAAGTAGCAAATTTTTAATGTATTTAGGACCCTTCCCAGATTAATCTCTATAATATATGAGCTGGTTGCAACTTGTTATAATTTTAGGTTGGGCTTGCAGATTAGCGGTTCTTGTATCTTAACATGTGAACCTGATTCATTGGATGTTCCTAAACTAAGCATTACCTTACGTATTTAAGGGATAGCATGCAGTTTCTGCAGAACCCTACAAAGATTGTATGGCTAATTTCAGTCTCTTCATAAAATAATGAATTGTTTTTTTTTTTTTTTGGCTTGGAAACAAATAATGAGTAGCATGTGACATATAAAATGGTTAATCGTTGTGAATGATGATTCTGCAGGCATAGGCACCTACCAAAACCAGTGTACAAGGCAGCTGCAACATTGCGTGAGATGACCGAATCTCGAAGAAAGAAACACGAGAAGAGGAAGGCGCATAGTGCCCCAGGAAGCATCATTGAAGAGCCATTACGGAAAAGAAAAATCATCAAAGTTGAGTGATAAATGTGGGTAGTTTGTAATTGGCTCATGCATATCCATGCTAGAGAATGGATCTTTCATGTCCAATGTTCGTGAGCTCCATACCAGTGCCTGTACAGTTCAAGTGATTTCCCAATCACCAATCCTCGTCATGCACGTGCTGTCTCTATGGTGGTTTTGACGGACTATGTTTTGTTCATGCTATACTAACGTCAGGTCATAGTGTAGTTTATTTCACTTGTTCAGCCTTGTGCAATTTTGTCTGGAAAAATGTGTAACTGAATATTAGAAGGTATATCAAGGGGACTAATCTTTTTCAGCCTGTGGACCCTTATAGACTGCCTAACCCAAAAGTAATACATGGAATTGGAAGTCAGCTACAGACAAAATCACTCTTTGCCCCGTTTGGTTCACGGAAAGGAATTGATGAGAAATCAACCTTCATGCCTTTTCTTAGGGATTAAGAACACAGTAGAACAATTTATGGGAAGCAAGAATTCGTACCCCTTTACCGGATTAATTCCAAACAAGAACAGTTATAAAATCTGAAATTTTGATTGAAAAATAGGAAAACTGACACCTAAATCCCAACGGATATACCAGAATTAATTTGAAATTTAAAACAACTAATGATCAAGTAGTAAAAGAAAAATAAAAACTTTGCTATAAACTCCACCCTATGTGTCAAACATAACCCACCGAATTGTAAAAGATAAAGGCTAAAAGTCACTTTTGGTCCCTGTAGTTTGGCATTTTAACCACTTTTGATCCTGTAGTTTCAATTCCGTCAATATTGACCTTGTAGTTTCGTATTTGTAGCAATTCAAGGACAAGTTAGTATTTCTATCAATTTCTTTGACAATGCAAGGGGCAATTTCATCAACCTAAAATCCTTGAGCATAAAAACTCGTCTGAAACTCCCCTAATTTCATATTAGGGCTTGAAAATTGGTCATTTGGGTTTAGGGTTCTTTAAAAATTGGGATTAGTGGTTGAATTTCGAGCCCTAATATGAAATGGGGAGAATTTCAGACAAGCTTTTATGCTCAAGGGTTTTGGGTTGACGAAATTGCCCCTTGCATCGTTAAAAAAATTGACAAGAATACTAACATGTCCTTGAATTTCTACAAATAAGAAACTACAATGGCAAAATTGATAGAATTGAAACTACAAGGTCAAAAGTGGTTCCTCTGAGTTACTGGTCTCTTTGCTCAGCAAAACAGAGTACTTTACTCCCAGTTTTTCCTTAGCCCAGAACCACCAATCAGTCCACCCAGCCCCCAGCCTCCAAAACCTCCACCCCAACCAGATTTTCCACGTTTTCGCTCTTGTTTTTTCTCTTTCTTGTTGTGTTTGGCTTGATGGACATGGTTCCCTCGTCTCTTATGGCTCGAGCTTGGTAGCTTTGCTGCTGTGAATTTCTCTCTCTCTCTCTCTCCGACCATGGAGAATGAAGTGGAAGTTGCAGATCAGCTCACCATTCACCTTGAAAACAACCTGGACTTGGCAGAAGACAGGTGTGGCATTACTCTTGCCGGCTTCCTCATCACTGAGAAAGAACCTCAGATCGGTGGAGTGAAGAATGCCCTCCAACGTGAGTGGCGCAACATCGTACACTCGGACGATGTCAAGATTGCATGGGCTAGTCCCAATGTATATGTTATTACTGCTGCTTCTATTGTGGTGGCTAAGAAACTTATTGAGAAAGGTCCCTGGCATGTCAACGACGACGTTTTCTCCATCCAGCCATGGCCACAAAGCTTTGCACTTGCAGAAATTCATCCAAACAAAGCAACCTATTGGATACAAGCACATGGGATTCCCCTTGGTTTGATGACGGGGAGGAATGCTCGACTGATAGGAGAGAGTATTGGCTCTGTTATTGGAGTTGAGGACCCTGCCACCAATGGAACCAGGAGCTTTTTACGGATGAGAATCGAGATTGACTCGACAAAACCACTTCAGCTTGGTTTCTGGTTACCCAGAGCAAACGAAGAGCGAACTTGGATCAACCTGAAATACGAGGGACTGCGGCGTTTCTGCTTCCGCTGTGGCAGACTTGGCCATGCAAATCTCTTGGGTAAGCCATGTGTTCGTACTCTTGGCACTGTTGTTGCTCAGGAAGGGATGAAGTATGGAGCGGAGCTGGCGGTGAGAGCCACTAGGGGGCCCTCTCCACTCTTCCCTGTAAAACACTCTCGTAGCACACCATTTTCTCAGTTGGTAGAGATGGAAGTTCTGGGAAAGCGGAGGACTGTGGAAGATGCTCGTCACCGGCCGAACCCGATTCCCTGGCAGTCGGCTGTTCCTCTCCGACCCGTTGGGAGTGCACGCGCGGACAGACTCGACAATGCTGACCACTTGCATTCGGCTGGGGGACAACACGCTGATACGGTTCCCAATGGAGTGATGGGCTCACATCCTGTCGTGAAAGAATTTTTTTCAAATTCAATGGCCATTATCACGCATGCATGTTCCCCTAGTGCTTCAACTAAAGGACGAGTAGAGGAAGCTCTAGGCGTGCCAACTGAAACTAATACTGAGACCCTAAATGTTAATTTTTTATTGGGCCCTGCACTTTCCTTGGCTAGTGTCAGTAAAGACCCCACCCTTATTGGTGAGTCTGAGATTATTCATGCGGTTGTGGAAGATGTCGCACTCCACAAGAC